TGGATGTGGGGTGGGATAAGGGGGGGAGATGGGGGGGTATGGGGGGGGACATGGGGGGATGAGGGGTGAGATATGGGGGATATGGGGTGCGATATGGGGAGGGAATGGGGTGGGAATAGGGGGCAGGTGTGGGGTGGAATATGGGGCGGGAATGGGGTGGGATATGAGGGGTTGTGGGTGGGATATGGGGTGGGAATGGGGTGGCATATGGGGGATGTGGGTGGGATATGGGGAGGGAATGGGGTGGGATATGGGGAGGGAATGGAGGAATGTGGGGCAGGAATGGGGGTGGGATATGGGGGGATGTGGGGTGGGATATGCGGGTGTGTGGGGTGGGATATGGGGTGGGAATGGGATGTGGGGCAGGAATGGGTGTCTATGGGGTGGGATATGGGGGTCAATGGGTTGGGATATGGGGAGCTATGGGTCAGGAAGGGGGTCAGTGGGGCTGAGGGGGGTCCCTGTGTCCCTGTCCCCAGCACGGGGGGAGCTCCTGGGCTGCTTCGGGCTGACGGAGCCCAACCACGGCAGCGACCCCGCGCGCATGGAGACGCGGGCGCGCTACAACCCCGGCTCCCGCAGCTACACCCTGCGCGGGGCCAAGACCTGGTGAGCGCGGGCCCCAAACACCCCACAACACGCAGAAACAGCCCCAAAACACCCCACAACACACAGAAACAGCCCCAAAACACACCAAAACACCCCGAAATCACACCAAAACACACAAAAACACAACCAAAACACACCAAAACACCCCGAAATCACACCAAAACACACAAAAACACAACCAAAACACACCAAAACACCCCGAAATCACACCAAAACACACAAAAACAGCCCCAAAACACCCCACAACACACAGAAACAGCCCCAAAACACACCAAAACACCCCGAAATCACACCAAAACACACAAAAACACCCCCAAAACACACAAAAACACCCCCACAACACCCCAAAACACCCCAAAACACCCCCAAAACACCCAAAAACACCCCCAAAACACACCAAAACACCCCCAAAACACACCAAAACACCCCGAAATCACACCAAAACACAACACCCCCAAAACGCAAAAAACCACCCCGAAATCACACCAAAACACCCCAAACACACCCCAAAACACCACAAACCACCTCAAAACCATCCCAAAACACCCCAAAATCACACCATAACACCCCCAAACACACCCCAAAATCACCCCCAAACACCCAAAATCGCCACAAAACCACCTCAAAACCACCCCAAAACACCCAAAATCACACCAAAATCACCCCAAAACACACCAAAATCACGCCAAGCCCACCCAACCCCCCCAAACCTACCCAAAGCCCCGCTAATCCACGCCAAATGACCCCTAGCCCCCCCAAACCCCCGCAAATCCACCCCAAAGCCCCACAAATCCACCCCCAACCCCCCCCCAAATCCACCCCAACTCCCCCAAACCCCTGCAAATCCACCCCAAATGACCCCTAACCCCTCCAAATCCACCCCAAATCCCCACAAATCCACCCCAAACCCCCACAAATCCACCCCAAATGACCCCTAACCCCTCCAAATCCACCCCAAATCCCCACAAATCCACCCCAAACCCCCACAAATCCACCCCAAATGACCCCTAACCCCTCCAAATCCACCCCTAACCCCCACAAATCCACCCCAAACCCCCACAAATCCACCCCAAACCCCCACAAATCCACCCCAAATGACCCCTAACCGCCCCAAATCCACCCCAACCCCCCATTTCCCCCCCCCCCCCCAGGATCACGAACGCTCCGGTGGCCGACCTGTGCCTGGTGTGGGCCGTGTGCGAGCAGGACGGGCGCGTGCGGGGCTTCCTGGTGGAGCGGGGCCGTGGGGGGCTCAGCACCCCCGGCATCCAGGGCAAGTTCTCGCTGCGGGCCTCGGCCACGGGCATGATCCTCATGGACGACGTGGAGGTGCCCGAGGAGAACGTGCTGCCCGGCGCCGTGGGGCTGGCGGTGAGAGGGAGGGGATCTGGGGGGCTCTATGGGGCTCTATGGGGCCTATAGAGGTCTATCAGGGTTTGGGGGGTCCTATTGTGGTCTATAGGGGGTTGGGGGGATGTCCTCTATGGGGCCTATAGCAGTCTATAGGGGTTTGGGGGGATGTCCTCTATGGGGCTCTATGGGACCTATATTGGTCTATAGGGGGTTGGGGGGATGTCCTCTATGGGGCCTATAGTGGTCTGTAGGGGGTTGGGGGTCCTATTGTGGTCTGTAGGGGTTGGGGGGGATGTCCTCTATGGGGCCTATAGCGGTCTGTAGGGGGTTGGGGGGATGTCCTCTATGGGGCCTATAGCAGTCTGTAGGGGTTTGCGGGTCCTACTGTGGTCTATAGGGGGTTGGGGGGATGTCCTCTATGGGGCTCTATGGGGCCTATAGCGGTCTATAGGGGTTTGGGGGTCCTACTGTTGTCTATAGGGGGTTGGGGGTCCTATTGTGGTCTAGAGGGGGTTGGAGGTCCTGTATTGGTTTGTAGGGGTTTGGGGGGATGTCCTCTATGGGGCTCTATGGGGCCTATATTGGTCTATAGGGGTTTGGGGGGGATGTCCTCTATGGGGCTCTATGGGGCCTATATTGGTCTATAGGGGTTTGGGGGTTCTATATCAGTCTATAGGGGGTGGGGGGTGTACTCTGCGGGGCTCTATAGGACCTATATTGGTCTGTAAGGGTTTTGGGGGGGCCTATATCAGTATACAGGGGTTTGGGGGGGTCTTATGTCGATCTCTAGGGTCTATATGACTCCCCCCTCAATCCTTTAGACCCATATAGGACCCACCCAAAGCCCTATAGGCCAATAATAGGTCCTATACAGACTGATACAGGAATTCCCCAAAAGCCTATAGGCCAACATAAGACCCCTCAAACCCCGATAGACCCCTATAGGACCCCTCCAAAACCCTATAGACCGATATAGGACCCCCTCAAGTACCTATCGACTGACATAGCACCCCCTCAAAACCCTATAGACCGATAGGTGTCCCCCTCAAAACCCTATAGACCAATAGGTGTCCCCCTCAAAACCCTATAGACTGATAGGTGACCCCCTCAAAACCATATGAACCAATACAGGACCCCACAAAACCCAGTAACAGACATAAGACACCACCTATAGGGTTTTGGAGGGGTCTTATGTCATTCTATAGGGCTTCGGGGGGGGGTCCTATGTCAGTCTATATTGGACCTACATCAGTCTATAGCGTTTGGGGGAGGTTCTATATGGACCTATAGGGGTTGGGGGGGGGGTCCCGGGTCAGTCTATATGGTTATGGAGGGGCCTTATGTCACCCTATAGAGCTTTGGGGTGCTCCTACATTACCCTATAGGGTCCCTTTGGCTGCCTCACCCATGCGCGCTACGGCATCGCCTGGGGGGCTCTGGGTGCTGCTGAGGCCTGTTTGGAGACGGCGCGTCAGTACGTCCTGGACAGGTACCCCCATCCGCACCCCAAAAGGGGGGGTCCTGCCCCCCCAAAGCCCCCCCTTCCACCATAGGCACCAGTTTGGGGGCCCATTGACCCCCACTTCCCCCATAGGCACCAGTATGGGAGTCCATTGACCCCCACTTCCACCATAGGCACCAGTTTGGGGGCCTATTGACCCCCACTTCCACCATAGGCACCAGTTTGGGGGTCCATTGACCCCCTCTTCCCCCATAGGCACCATTTTGGGGGTCCACTGACCCCCACTTCCCCCATAGGCACCAGTTTGGGGGCCCACTGACCCCCACTTCCCCCATAGGCACCAGTTTGGGGGCCTATTGACCCCCACTTCCACCATAGGCACCAATTTGGGGGTCCATTGACCCCCTCTTCCCCCATAGGCACCATTTTGGGGGTCCATTGACCCCCTCTTCCCCCATAGGCACCATTTTGGGGGTCCACTGACCCCCACTTCCCCCATAGGCACCAGTTTGGGGGCCCACTGACCCCCACTTCCCCCATAGGCACCAGTTTAGGGGCCCATTGACCCCCACTTCCACCACAGGCACCAGTCTGGGGGCCTGTGGATCCCCACTTCCCCCATAGGCACCAGTTTGGGGGGCCATTGACCCCCACTTCCTCCATAGGCACCAGTTTAGGGGCCCATTGACCCCCCACTTCCCCCATAGGCACCAGTTTAAGGGCCCACTGACCCCCACTTCCCCCATAGGCACCAGTTTGGGGGCCCGCTGGCACGGAACCAGTTGGTGCAGAAGAAGCTGGCGGACATGGTGACCGAGATCGCATTGGGGCTCCAAGCTTGCCTTCGCCTCGGGCGCCTCAAGGACGAGGGCCGGTGGGTGCTATGGGGCAGAGGAGGCCAGGGACAATGACACAAACCCCAAAAGGGGGTGGCCCAAGGAGGGGCCGTCGATGTCTTTGTCCCCATAGGGCAGCCCCCGAGATGGTGTCGATGCTGAAGCGGAACTCGTGCGGGAAGGCGCTGAGCATCGCGCGGGAGGCGCGGGACATGCTGGGGGGCAACGGGGTCTGCGACGAGTTCCACGTCATCCGTCACCTCCTCAACCTGGAGGCTGTCAACACCTATGAAGGTGCCAAAGGGACCGGGGGGGATATTATGGGATGGCGGGGGACAGGACGCGCTGTGACACTTCCCCCCCACCACAGGCACCCACGACATCCACGCGCTCATCCTGGGCCGGGCCATCACCGGTATCCAGGCATTCGCCCCCCCGGCACCGCGGAGCTGATGGGGCCACAGCAGGGCCAGGATGGCACCGGGAGGGGGTCATGGTGTCACCAGCGGAACCACGGTGTCACCGGCGGTGGAGGACACGAGGGGATGGTGCTGGGAACTGGACCTGGTGGCACCGGCACAACCTGACTGCAACCAGATCCGGTGGCAACAACCGGACCTGGTGGCACCGGCACAACGTGACAGCAACTGAACCCAGTGCCACCAACTGGACCTGGTGTCACCAACCAACCCTGGTGTCAGCAGCACAACCTGACAGCAACTGAACCCAGTGCCACCAACTGGACCTGGTGTCACCAACTGGAATTGGTGTTACCAACCAACCCTGGTGGCACTGGCACAACCTGTCACCAACCGGACCTGGTGTCACCAACCGGACCTGGTGGCACTGGCACAACCTGACAGCAACCGGACCCAGTGTCACCAATTGGACCCGGTGTCACCAACCAGACACGGTGTCACCAACCGGACCTGATGTTACCAATCAACCCTGGTGGCACTGGCACAACCTGACAGCCACCGGACCCGGTGTCACCAACCGGACCTGGTGGCACCAACCAGCCCCAGTGTCACCAGCACAAGCAGTGACCGGACCCGGTGTCACCCACAGAACAAGCTGTCACAGCATAGACAGAAACCACTCTCAGCAATGGGTGCTGTGGCCACCCTCATGGCTCCTCCTGGCCAATAAAAGCCCCCTCTGCTCATTAGCAGCAGCCTCATCAACACTAATGAAGCTCCGTGGCCTCCTGAACGTTGAGGACACCGGAGCTGGACGTGGCAGCCAAATGGGACCAGTGGAAAGGGGCAGGATCCCCTCCTTGGCCATGGCTCACGTTGAGCTCCTCCTCACCCCTTTGGGGTGCTCTGCATCACTTCACCCACCCCGGAGCCTGGGATTGCCCCAGCCTTGGTGATCTCCATGAGGTCCTCATGGTCCCACATCTCCAGGTCCCTCTGGATCCCATCCTTTCTCCCAGCGTCACCCCAACCACATGGGTTTGGCTCCTTTTATTGGTGCTAAACCCAAACAGCAACAGCAAAGCCCTTTTTTTTTGGGGTGGGGGGGGCGGGGGCAAAACCCCCCTGTATCCCACTTTGGGGCAGCTCCAAGGGGAGCAGCTCAGCCCCTACTTGTGGGGCAGTGGGGACCCCGCTCAGGTCTCGGGCTGCAGGCAGAGGTCCCGGTAAGCAGCCTCCACGGTGCGGCAGACCTGGCGGAGCTCGGCCGCGGCCTCCCCCACCCTCTCCATCACCTCGGCCAGCTCCTGCAGGCGCTCTTGGATCAGCTCGTTGTGGATGCCATAGAGGTGGAAGAGCCGCTCCTCCAGCTGCTCGGCCAGGCCCGAAACCTGGGGCAAAAAGAGGGGGGGGAAACCGGCTCTTCCAAGGGCTCAGGAGGGCGTTCTGCCTCTCAGGAGGAGGTGGCAGCTGTGGCTGCGCACCGGAGCCAAAGCCATTGCCACCGGGTCACCATGGGCTGCAGCTGAGCCCCCATCTGCCCATGGGCCTGGGGGAGCCCCTGTGCAACCCCTGCCCGCGGCTGTGGGGCTGCAAAGGCCAATGTGGGAGGCAGCTGAGCGAGGACGTTGCTCCGGGGATGGGAAATGCTCCATCCCTTGGGGGGGGTTCGTTGGCCATCGGCCTCCTCTGCGTGCCCCAAAGCGGGGCTGGAGGCAGCTGGGGCCGTACCCGGAGGGTTTGGGAGTGCTCCCCCCTCCCGCCTCCCCACCACATACAACACACATGGCACACCAGGCTCTGCAGCTGGGACCTCGTCCTGCTGCCAATCCGGGTGGAATAACGGGATTAAGCACATGGAGCAGCCGCCGTGTGGGTTAGGGGGCTCCTCCCCCCCCCCATCAGCCCCCCCACCTTGAGCAGGAGGCTCTCTCGGAAGGTGCTCATCACGTTGTGATCCTCCTTCCTGCTGCTGTTCACGCTGTCAATGAGGTGCTGAGCGCGGTGCTGCAGGTCCCCAACGCTGGCATCCAGGGCGGCGAAGTACCGGGAGGACGGAGCATCCAGCGCTGCCTCTGCCCCGGGCACCGGCTCCACCCTCAGCCCAAACACAGACCCACATGTGAGGGGCAGCACTGGTGCCTATGGGGGAAGTGGGGGTCAATGGGCCCCCAAACTGGTGCCTATGGAGGAAGTGGGGGTCAATGGGCCCCCAAACTGGTTCCTATGGGGGAAGTGGGGGTCAATGGGCCCCCAAAATAGTGCCTATGGGGGAACTGGGAGTGAATGGGCCCCCAAAACAGTGCCTATGGGGGAAAGCGGGTCAATGGACCCCAAACTGGTGCCTATGGAGGAAGTGAGGGTCAATGCGCCCCAAACCAGTGCCTATGGTGGAAGTGGGGGTCAATGGGCCCCAGACTGGTGCCTGTGGTGGAAGTGGGGGTCAATGGTCCCCAAACTGGTGCCTATGGTGGAAGTGGGGGTCAATGGGCCCCAGACTGGTGCCTATGGGGGAAGTGGGGGTCAATGGGGCCCCAAACTGGTGCCTATGGGGGAAGTGGGGGTCAATGGGGCCCCAAACTGGTGCCTATGGGGGAAGTGGCGGTCAGTGGACCCCCAAACTGGTGCCTATGGGGGAAGTGGGGGTCAATGGACCCCCAAACTGCTGCCTATGGGGGAAGTGGGGGTCAATGGGCCCCAGATTGATGCCTATGGGGAAAGTGGGGGTCAATGGGCCCCAGACTGGTGCCTGTGGTGGAAGTGGGGGTCAATGGCCCCCAAACTGGTGCCTATGGGAGAATTGGGGGTCAGTGAACCCCAGACTGGTGCCTATGGTGAAATTGGGGGTCAATGGCCCCCAAACTGGTGCCTGTGGTGGAAGTGGGGGTCAATGACCCCCAAACTGGTGCCTATGGTGGAAGTGGGGGTCAATGGACCCCAGACTGGTGCCTATGGTGGAAGTGGGGGGTCAATGGGCCCCAAACTGGTGCCTACGGTGGAATTGGGTGTCAGTGGGCCCCCAGATGGTGCCTATGGTGGAAGTGGTGCTCAAAGAGCCCCGAATTGGTGCTCTCGTTAATCAGGAACGCAACTGAAGCCGAACCCATGAGGCCCCGGCGGTGTTAACGCCGTTACCTGTCAGCGTCCTCACCGGGGGGCTCATCCCTGCCCACCCCTGCCACGGCGGGGCTGGCGCCGGCCTCCAGCTCGGAGCCTTCCCGTTCCTTCCGTGACATTCCCGGACCTGGGGGTCGGGAATAGGGGGGGGACGGGGACGAGACCGGAACGGAGCCACCGGGAAGCGACCGGAGCTCGGCGAAGGGCCCCGGAGCGCTGAGGTAAAGTGGGCGGGGCCTCCGCAACGCTGAGGTAAAGTGGGCGGGGCGTCCGCGGCGATAGCCACCAATCAGCGCCCGGCTGGGCTGACGGGGGACCAATCAGAAGGCCGGAAGCAAAATGGCGGGAAGGGGACCGTGAAGAAGGAGCCGCCATGGCGGGCGCTGAGGAAGGAGCCAACATGGCGGCCGCCGGGACCGGTAGGCTCCGCGGTTGTGTTTGTGGGGGTGCAGGCTGTGTAGGACCCCCCCCAACCTTCCATACCAGCTCCCCCCCCCCCCAGCACAGACACGGGTCCCCGGCGGGTGAAGGAGCTTTATTGTGAGGCCGGCACTCAGGCGGCCATGCGGCACAGGGGCCCGTCATAGACCATCTGCAGGTTCACCCGGTGCCCCACCAGCTCCCGGATGTTGTTGATGCCGTATTTGATCATGGTGGGGCTGCGGAAGAGAAGGGGGGGGTCAATAGGGAGATGCTCCCCCCCCATATCCCGGTGCTATGGGGGGGTCAATAGATAGGTGCCCCCCCATATCCCTGTGCTATGGGGGGGGGTCAATAGATAGGTGCCCCCCTATATCCCTGTGCTATGGGGGGGGGGTCAATAGATAGGTGCCCCCCCTATATCCTTGTGCTATGGGGGGGGTCAATAGATAGGTGCCCCCCTATATCCCTGTGCTATGGGGGGGGTCGATAGGTGCCCCCCCATTTCAGTGTGCTATGGGGGGAGTTAATAGGAAGGTGCCCCCCCCATATCCCTGTCCTATGGCAGGGTGTCAATAGGAAGGAGCCCCCCCATATCACTGTGCTATAAGGGGGGATGTCAATAGGAAGGAGGCCCCCCCCCCATATCCCTGTGCTATGGGGGGGATGTCAATAGGAAGGAGGTCCCCCCATATCCCCGTGCTATGGGGGGGTGTCAATAGGAAGGTGCCCCCCCATATCCCTGTCCTATGGCGGGGTGTCAATAGGAAGGAGCCCCCCCATATCCCTGTGCTATGGGAGGGATGTCAATAGGAAGGAGGTCCCCCATATCCCTGTGCTATGGGGGGGGTGTCAATAGGAAGGAGCCCCCCTCCATATCCCTGTCCTATGGCGGGGTGTCAATAGGAAGGACCCCCCCCTATATCCCTGTGCTATGTGGGGAGATGTCAATAGTAAGGAGGCTCCCCCCCCCATATCCCTGTGCTATGGGGGGAGTTAATAGGAAGGTGCCCCCCCCTATCCCTGTCCTATGGCGGGGTGTCAATAGGAAGGAGCCCCCCCATATCACTGTGCTATAAGGGGGGATGTCAATAGGAAGGAGGTCCCCCCATATCCCTGTGCTATGGGGGGGTGTCAATGGGAAGGTGCCCCCCCCCATATCCCTGTCCTATGGCGGGGTGTCAATAGGAAGGAGCTCCCCCCATATCCCTGTGCTATGGGGGGATGTCAGTAGGAAGGAGGCCCCCCCCCATATCCCTGTGCTATAGGGGGGTTCAATAGGAAGGTGCCCCCCCCATATCCCTGTGCTATGGGGGGGGTGTCAATTGGAAGGAGCACCCCCCCATAGTGCAGGGATATGGGGGGGTGTCAATAGAAGGTGCCCCCCCATATCCCTGCGCTATGGGGGTACCCCCCCCCCCCAAACTCACCGTTCCAAGGAGAGCCCCCAGGCCAGGACCGAGATGTTCTCTGGGAGCCCCATGGGCAGCAGCATTTCCGGGCGGAAGATCCCCGAGTTCCCCACCTCAACCCATTTCTTGAGCCCTATGGGGAGGGGGCACAGCCCCATTGCGGTGAGAAGGGGCCATTGGGAGCCCCTAATCCAAGGGGGGGGTGCACACCCCCCCAAAAGACAGCCCCTTCCCATAGGGGTATCCTTTGTATCATGCTATATACTCCTATATAGGATATATAATCCCTGTATAGGATGACCCTCACCCCAGCCCCATAGGGGTGAGGGGGGGGCCATAGGGAGCCCCTAATCCCAAGGGGGGTGCACACCCCCCGAAAGACAGCCCCTTCCTGTAGGGGTACCCCTGTATAACCCTATATACCCCTATATAGGATATATAACCACTGTATAGGTTGATCCTCACTCCAGCCCCATAGAAGTGAGGGGGAATGGGGGGGATAGGGAGCCCCTAATCCAAGGGGGGGGGGGGGTGCACACATATCCCCCAAGAGACAACCCCTTCCCACAGGGATACCCCTCTATCACCCTATATATGCCTATAGAGTATATATAATTCCTAGATAGAATGACCCTCACCCCATAGCGGTAACTGAGCCCCAGCCCCACTATTGGGGTACTCTAAAGGCTCCCCTTAGTATAGGGGTACCCCAAACCCCTCTTTGTTACAGGGAAACCTCAAAGCCCCCCCATAGGTACCCCAACCCCCCCAACCCTATAGGGGAAATGACCCCCCACCCCACCTCCTCCGTGCACACACACAGAGATCCTAAGGCTCCTTTGGGGACCCATCACCCCCCCCCCTTTACTCCACATTGGGGTGTCCCCCCCTCACCCTCATGGTAGCTGAACACCTCCATGCTGGGCTCTGTATAGGGGTTGTACGCCGGCTTGAACCGCAGCTGGCTGATACCTGGGGACAGCACAGAGTAAGGGGGTGACCCCCAAGTTGAGGGTGGGGGGTGTCTTTATCCGTGTGTGTGTGTCCCCCCCCCATACCCAGCTTGGTGAAGAACTGCCGGAGGATGCCCATGAGGTGGCCGAGGGTGAGGCCGCGATCGGCCACGACGCCTTCGACCTGGTGGAACTCGGCGAGGTGCGTGGCGTCCAGGCTCTCGTTGCGGAACACGCGGTCGATGGAGAAGTATTTCACGGGTGAGAACCTCCCCTGAGCCATAAAGAATGGGACACACACACACACATCAAGTTATGGGGGTCCCCTACCCCCAAACCAAACCAGCCCCCTCCCCATATCCCCGAATCCATCGTTACCTGTTGGGCCAACCTATAGAGCATGCGGGCGCTGGCGGCCGTGGTGTGGGTGCGCAGCAGGTTCCTGCGTGCCTCCTCCAGCTTCCAGTCGTATTTGTACCTTTGGGGGGGGGCAAAAGGGGATGCAAAGACCCCCTAAACCCTATGTAGGGTGAGAAGGTTCAGGGGGGACCCTATGGGGTGTTGAGGGGGGGTGTGTGTCTCAGCCTCACCCCTGCGAGCCGTAACCTCCCTGCGAATGGACCTTCTTCACCTTGGCTGTGTAACCAGGGGGGAGCTCATTGGCCTCAGCGGGGTCTATAGGGATAGAAGTGGGGTTCAGGACGGGGGAGGGTGTGTGTTTCTGTGCCCCCCCTTTTCTTCCCCTGACCCCCCTTTTCCCCACCCTGCAGGAAGAAGGTGTCGTGCTGATCCCGCGCCGGGTGCTGCTGCGGCTGGAAAAGGGCATCGAAGTTCCAAAAGGAGCTTTCCACAAAGTTCTGCGTCGGCATCTCCGTGAACCTTGGGGTGCAAAACGCCTTAAACAGGGGGGTTCCCCCTGCCCTGAACTTGGGGGGGGGGGGGGGGGGTGGGGGGGCACCCCAAACCTCACCCCATTTCCAGGAAGATCTGCCGCAGCTCGGAGCGAACCTTCAGCAGCGGATGGAGATGCCCTGCGGCCGGTGGCAGCCCCAGCGCTGCGAAGTTGTAGGGTTTGAAGGGGAGCTGCCGCCAGGAACCCCTGTTAGGGGGGGTCACAGCAACGTTTTGGGGCTCCCAGGTAACGTTTTTGGGGTCCTAATAACGTTTTTTTTTGGGGGGGGGGGGGTCCGATGCACTCACGTCGCGATCATCTCCGGCGTCAGCTCCGTCTCCTGCCGTGCCACCGCCGTGCTGAAAGCGCTGCCCTTCCGGATCCAGTAGGATTTGAGGGTGCTGGGTGGGGGGTGTGTGTGTCAAAGGGATTAAAAGGGGTGGTCTCAAGGGGGGGAACCCCAAATCTACACCCCCCCCACCCCCAACTCACACTTCCAGCAGCAGTTTCCTCCTCTTGAGGTCGTTGCGTTCGCGCTCCGGGACGCTCTCGGTCTCCCCTTGGTGCAGGCGCCGCAGGGCCTCCTGCACCGTGTCCTGCACCTCCGGCACCTATGGGTGACCGGGGGGATGTGGGGTGGTGTCACCCCCCCCACCATGGGGGTAACACGGTGCTGGAGACCACCCTGATGGGTGACCACCCCCCCCCCACCCCGGTGCCCCCATTCCCCCCTTGCTCCACTCACGGCACGGAAGACGCGGGGTCCTCCCGGTGCCCCCTTCTCCAGGCGCAGCCACTTGTTGGCCATGGCCTTACTGAAGCCAACGGAGCCCCCGGGCAGCTTCTAAAGGGGAACGGAGCCGGGGGTGGGGGGGGAACATAGATGAGACCTCCGGTGGTCCCGGTGCTGCCTCAACCCCCCCCCCGGTACTCACCATGGCATCGCTCTGGGGCAGCCCCTCCGCGGGGAGGCTGCGGAAGAGCCGCACCTCGGGGCTCCCATCCCGCAGCACCTCCGTGCCCTCGGGGCTCAGCTCCCACCGCGTGGCCGCCCGCGCCTCCGCCTCGATCACCTGCGGGGCGGCCGCGCTCAGCACCGGGGGGTGACCCCGGTCCCTGCTCCCCCCCTTCCGTATCCCGGTGCAACCGGATCACCGGAGCTCTCCCCCCTCTCCGTATCCCGGTGTAACCGGATGCTCCGGTGCTCACCCCCTCCCCGTATCCCAGTGGAACCGGATCACCGGAGCTCCCCCCACTCCGTATCCCGGTGTAACCGGATCACGGGAGCTCCCTCCCCTCCCTGTATTCCGGTGCAACCAGAGGTTTCCCCCCCCCGTATGCCGGTGCAACCGGAGCTCCTCCCCTCCATATCCCGGTGCAACCGGATGCCCCGGTGCTCCCTCCCGCCCCCCCCCCATCCCGGTGCAACCGGAGCTCCCCCCCTCCGTTTG